ATTGGTCTGACGTATGTGGTATACAAAATCCTGAAGGATTCCTTATCATTCAGAAAAAATTCTGAAGGATTCCTTATCATTCCTTATCGTTTCTAATGGCCGTTCTTATGTTGGCCAACCTGACATGTGCTGCTGGTGTTATCCTCTTGGTATGGGCTTCAGGGGACAGGTCTGGCGTGATATCAACCCCCAGGTCTTTCTCTCTCTCTCTCTGACTCTTGAAGTATTTCATCTCCCAAATGATACCTTGCATCTGGTCTCCTGCTCCCTACACCTATATTCATTACATTACATTTGCTTGGGTTAAACTCTAACAATCATTTGTTCGACCATTCCTGCAGCTTGTCCAGGTCTTCTTGAAACCTCAAGCTGTCCTCTTGTCTTAATCCTTCTCATAATTTTGGCGTCGTCAGCAAACACTGAGAGGAATGAGTTTATACCCTCTGGGAAATCATTTACGTATGTCAGGAACATGTCAGGAACAGGATAGGTCTGAGTACAGAGCCCTGTGGGACTCCACTGGTGACTTCACGCCATTCTGAGGTCTCACCCCTCATTGTAACACTCTGCTTCCTATTGCTTAGGTACTCCCTTATCCACTGGAGCGCCCTACCAGTTACTCCTGCCTGTTTCTCCAGCTTATGCATTAGCCTCTTATGCGGTACTGTGTCAAGGGCTTTCCGACAGTCCAACAAAATGCAGTCCGCCCATCCTTCTCTTTCTTGCTTAATCTTTGTCACCTGATCGTAGAATTCTATCAAGCCTGTAAGACAAGATTTAACCTCCCTGAACCCATGTTGATGTGTTGTCACGAAGTCCCTTCTCTCCAGACGTGTTACTAGGCTTTTTTCTCACACTCTTCTCCATCACCTTGCATGGTATACAAGTCAAGGACACTGGCCTGTAGTTCAGTGCCTCTTGTCTGTCACCCTTTTTGTATATTGGGACTACGTAAGCCGTCTTCCATATTTCTGGTAGGTCTCCCGTCTCCAGTGACCTACTATATACTATGGAGAGTGGCAAGCAAAGTGCTTCTGCACACTCTTTCAATACCCATGGTGAGATTCCGTCTGGACCAACAGCCTTTCTCACATCCTGATCCAACAGATGCCTCTTGATCTCATCTCTTGTAATTTCGAACCCTTCCAAGGCCGCCTGAATTACTGCCACCTCTCCTAGCGCAGTGACCTCACCTCATTCTATTGTTAAGACCTCCTGGAACCTTGTTGAGTTCTCCACACACCTCTGTGTCATTCTCTGTGTATCTATCCTCACTCGTTCTAAGTTTCATCCCCTGTTCCTTCACTGTTGTTTTCCTCCTGATGTGATTGTGGAGTAGCTGTGGTTCGGTCTTGGCTTTATTAGCTATATCATTTTCATACGTTTTCTCAACTTCTCTTCTCACACTAACATACTCGTTCTTGGTTCTCTGGTATCTCTCTCTCCTTTCTGGTGTTCTGTTATTCCGGAAGTTCCTCCACGCCCTTTTGTTCAGGTTCCTTTGCTCCCATACATGCCCTATTAAACCACGGATTCTTCTTTTGCTACTCGGTTTTTTCCTGTCGGGCCGGGATAAACCTGTTTACTGCCTCCTGACACTTTTGGGTGACATAGTCCATCATGTCTTGTACAGACTTATTTCTGAATTCTGTGTTCCATGGTATATTCCTTAGGAATTTTCTCATCTCATCATAATTTCCCTTTCGGTACGCCAGCCCTTTGTTTCCTGGTTCTTTTTTGGGGGGAGATAAATCCTAGCTCTACCAGGTACTCAAAGAATAACAATACACTGTGATCACTCATTCCAACTTAACTTCCCTTTTATCCGACTCATTTAGGGTAAATATCAGATCAAGCATTGCTGGTTCATCCTCTCCTCTCATCCTTGTGTGTGTGTGTGTGTGTGTGTGTGTGTGTGCGCGCGCGCGCATGTTAGAGCACTGGTTATAGTACAGAAACACCAAATCACAACTAGATGTCATATACTCTCTCAAGATCAAAGCTGTGCATCACTCGTGAATGAAAATGTCTCCACTGCACCAACGCAACAGGCACTCCGTTCCTTAATGTAATCTCTCTCTCTCTCTCTCAAGCCACGACCAACGAGAGGGCAACGAGACCAACTCCGGACACCCTGGCTAAGTAACGAGGTGCATGGGGTGCAGGCTCAGTTGGCCACGGAGGGTGGCAGTGAGTGGACGTGTGGCACCGCCCTCCTGCGAGTTCCCGCCCCGCGGCCGCCATGTGGACAGTGCTTCCCTAAACTTCCCGCAATCGTAGATGTGATCTATTGACGACGCTGGTGACACAAGCGGTATGCAGCGGCTTCATTAACTCAACATTGTCAATAAGGCATTTTTTTAGGAGTGGGTGTTTTGAGGACTGAGTAGCCGAGTCAGTCGTCGATTACAATGTAGTCAAGTTGGTTTAGTGCCACACTGTTGCCCTCCTCTTGTGTGTCGACCCTCTACACCTCCCTCGGGAGCTTGGACCACTCTAGGTGAGTACCTTACACCCTGTGTGTTGACACGTGACTTGTTGGGTCATACACTGTGACACGTGACTTGTTGGGTCATACACAGTGACACGTGACTTGTTGGGTCATACACTGTGACACGTGACTTGTTGGGTCATACACTGTGACACGTGACTTGTTGGGTCATACACTGTGACACGTGACATGTCCCACACAGTGACACGTGACATGTCCCACACAGTGACACGTGACATGTCCGACATAGTGACACGTGACATGTCCCACACAGTGACACGTGACATGTCCGACACAGTGACACATGACATGTCCCACACAGTGACACGTGACATGTCCCACACAGTGACACGTGACATGTCCCACACAGTGACACGTGACATGTCCCACACAGTGACACGTGACATGTCCCACACAGTGACACGTGACATGTCCCACACAGTGACACGTGACATGTCCCCACACAGTGACACGTGACATGTCCCCCACAGTGACACGTGACATGTCCCCACACAGTGACACGTGACATGTCCCCACACAGTGACACGTGACATGTCCCCCACAGTGACACGTGACATGTCCCCCACAGTGACACGTGACATGTCCCCACACAGTGACACGTGACATGTCCCCACACAGTGACACGTGACATGTCCCCCACACAGTGACACGTGACATGTCCCCCACACAGTGACACGTGACATGTCCCACACAGTGACACATGACATGTCCGACACAGTGACACGTGACATGTCCGACACAGTGACACGTGACATGTCCGACACAGTGACACAAGATAACAATGACCAACACATTACTACATGATTGTGTTATCTATGCCAGCTCTGGCTAGCCACTCCACACGGTCACGATTCATCAGGTATTGACTCATCCTCTTCCGAAACCAGTACATCTTTCAACAATCATACCAGCTTTGTTTACATTTAATAGAAACAGTTAACCTGCCTTTAAACTTAACAACTCAAGGTTATTTTACTTATAAACAAGCCCCGTAGTGCTTCAGAATTCATGACTGTTTAATAAATAAGAGAAAAGCCGCCATGATTGAGAAAAGATGGAGAGGTTTCGCAAGTGCAACTGTGACTGACAAGTTGGTAAACCCGAGACTCCTCTCACGTGTAACACCCCAGAATCGAACCCTGATTTAAAAAAACAAACAATTAAAACACCTGTCAGGATAGTCACATGTGCCATACTGCATCTGTTAGTGACGCCAGATATAACACCGGTCGAATATCCCTTGGAAACATGTGCGTATCAACCCAAGATAACACGTGTGAGATTATATGCTAAGGAATATATGTTATTGTCTGACAATTAATGTGAAAAACCATCAGTTGTCAACAGTTAAGATGACAATACCCACAACACAACCCTACACTACAATACCCACAAGACAACACCTGCACTACAATACCCACAAGACAACACCTGCACTACAATACCCACAACACAACCCTACACTACAATACCCACAAGACAACACCTGCACTACAATACCCACAACACAACCCTACACTACAATACCCACAAGACAACCCTACACTACAATACCCACAACACAACCCTACACTACAATACCCACAACACAACACCTACACTACAATACCCACAACACAACCCTACACTACAATACCCACAAGACAACACCTACACTACAATACCCACAACACAACCCTACACTACAATACCCACAACACAACCCTACACTACAATACCCACAAGACAACACCTACACTACAATACCCACAACACAACCCTACACTACAATACCCACAAGACAACACCTACACTACAATACCCACAACACAACACCTACACTACAATACCCACAAGACAACCCTACACTACAATACCCACAAGACAACACCTACACTACAATACCCACAACACAACACCTACACTACAATACCCACAACACAACCCTACACTACAATACCCACAAGACAACACCTACACTACAATACCCACAACACAACCCTACACTACAATACCCACAAGACAACACCTACACTACAATACCCACAAGACAACACCTACACTACAATACCCACAACACAACCCTACACTACAATACCCACAAGACAACACCTACACTACAATACCCACAACACAACACCTACACTACAATACCCACAAGACAACACCTACACTACAATACCCACAACACAACACCTACACTACAATACCCACAAGACAACCCTACACTACAATACCCACAAGACAACCCTACACTACAATACCCACAACACAACACCTACACTACAATACCCACAAGACAACCCTACACTACAATACCCACAAGACAACCCTACACTACAATACCCACAACACAACCCTACACTACAATACCCACAACACAACCCTACAATACCCACAAGACAACCCTACACTACAATACCCACAAGACAACACCTACACTACAATACCCACAAGACAACACCTACACTACAATACCCACAAGACAACACCTACACTACAATACCCACAAGACAACCCTACACTACAATACCCACAACACAACCCTACAATACCCACAAGACAACACCTACACTACAATACCCACAACACAACCCTACACTACAATACCCACAAGACAACACCTACACTACAATACCCACAACACAACACCTACACTACAATACCCACAACACAACCCTACACTACAATACCCACAAGACAACACCTACTCTACGATACCCACAAGACAACCCTACACTACAATACCCACAAGACAACACCTACACTACAATACCCACAACACAACCCTACACTACAATACCCACAAGACAACACCTACACTACAATACCCACAAGACAACACCTACACTACAATACCCACAAGACAACACCTACACTACAATACCCACAAGACAACCCTACACTACAATACCCACAACACAACCCTACAATACCCACAAGACAACACCTACACTACAATACCCACAACACAACCCTACACTACAATACCCACAAGACAACACCTACACTACAATACCCACAACACAACACAACCCTACAATACCCACAAGACAACACCTACACTACAATACCCACAACACAACCCTACACTACAATACCCACAAGACAACACCTACACTACAATACCCACAACACAACACCTACACTACAATACCCACAACACAACACCTACACTACAATACCCACAACACAACACCTACACTACAATACCCACAAGACAACACCTACACTACAATACCCACAAGACAACACCTACACTACAATACCCACAACACAACACCTACACTACAATACCCACAACACAACACCTACACTACAATACCCACAAGACAACCCTACACTACAATACCCACAACACAACCCTACAATACCCACAAGACAACACCTACACTACAATACCCACAACACAACCCTACACTACAATACCCACAAGACAACACCTACACTACAATACCCACAACACAACACAACCCTACAATACCCACAAGACAACACCTACACTACAATACCCACAACACAACCCTACACTACAATACCCACAAGACAACACCTACACTACAATACCCACAACAAACACCTACACTACAATACCCACAAGACAACACCTACACTACAATACCCACAACACAACCCTACACTACAATACCCACAAGACAACACCTACACTACAATACCCACAACACAACACCTACACTACAATACCCACAAGACAACACCTACACTACAATACCCACAACACAACCCTACACTACAATACCCACAACACAACACCTACACTACAATACCCACAACACAACACCTACACTACAATACCCACAACACAACACCTACACTACAATACCCACAACACAACACCTACACTACAATACCCACAACACAACACCTACACTACAATACCCACAACACAACACCTACACTACAATACCCACAACACAACACCTACACTACAATACCCACAACACAACACCTACACTACAATACCCACAAGACAACACCTACACTACAATACCCACAACACAACACCTACACTACAATACCCACAACACAACACCTACACTACAATACCCACAACACAACCCTACACTACAATACCCACAACACAACACCTACACTACAATACCCACAACACAACACCTACACTACAATACCCACAACACAACACCTACACTACAATACCCACAACACAACCCTACACTACAATACCCACAACACAACACAACCCTACACTACAATACCCACAACACAACACAACCCTACACTACAATACCCACAACACAACACCTACACTACAATACCCACAACACAACCCTACACTACAATACCCACAACACAACACCTACACTACAATACCCACAACACAACACCTACACTACAATACCCACAAGACAACACCTACACTACAATACCCACAACACAACACCTACACTACAATACCCACAACACAACCCTACAATACCCACAACACAACACCTACACTACAATACCCACAACACAACCCTACAATACCCACAACACAACACCTACACTACAATACCCACAACACAACCCTACACTACAATACCCACAACACAACACAACCCTACACTACAATACCCACAACACAACCCTACACTACAATACCCACAAGACAACACCTACACTACAATACCCACAAGACAACACCTACACTACAATACCCACAACACAACACCTACACTACAATACCCACAACACAACACCTACACTACAATACCCACAACACAACACCTACACTACAATACCCACAAGATTATACATATAATAGGTAAATAAAATAAAATTCCAATCTGTATTACAACTAAATTTATAAAATTTAAGTTAATAATTGAGGTTTTATTTGGCATATGTGCATTAAAATATTTTTTGGCATGATTTACCTGACGATCACTAAACACTAGGGGCCTCGACGAGTACAGGAAGCCGGCGGCTTGTCGAATGGTTGTTATATATTACATGTATTAATGTATGAATACGGACGAGCATGTGCA